AACTAAACATTAAAAATAGTTAAAATTTTAAATTAAAAATTATTACATAGAATTTGAGAATAAAATAAAAAATTTTGCGTCAGAGATTTAGTGATCGTCAAAGAAAATTTTAATCAAATTTCATTTTTATATATTTATTTGAGTTCTACGGAACCTAGATACATGGGTTCTCCATAGATATTCACAAGAACCTAAACCCAAATGATATAAATTTCATATATGTTTATTATGTATATTTTTTGCACAATCAACAAAAGCAAGTGTTCTGATACTTTTGTCCAGGTACTGTATGTATTCGAATTTATTTATTTAAAAATTTGTGATCTTACATATCCTTTGATACATAATAGTAAAGTTTTATATTAATATAATACTTTCCCATTATTGAAGAAATAAAATATGCATATTTGTATATACAGTTTACTCTCTATAACAAACATTAAGTAAATCTCTATATATAACAAACTTCTCTTTTTTTTATAATAATAAATAATCTCTCCTTATAATCTTAGTAAACTCAAATAAAAAATAGATGGAGGGTTTGTTATAGAGAGAGTGAACTGTAGCAAGTGGGAAACTATTAATAAGAATCCATAAAATAAATAAATGTTTAAATAATAATAAATTTTCACTAATACTGTAAAGTCTGGAAAGATAGCATCCCCTTTTTACATATGTGTAACATTTTTTTATATTGATGCTCAATTGTTTTAAAGTAGGGGGTGCTATCTTTCCAGACTTTTTTCAAAAATACAATCTCCTGGTTTGAATGTGTTATTTGATGTATCTGTCTTTGATTAATTTTTCTGGGACATTTCTTTGTTTTCTTGTTGCTTTATATAATGCATTACAATGCTAATGCCAATTTCTCATCACCAGTATTGATGAGAATTCCTTTTTGTTGCATAACTGAAACATTGTTGATTTTTTTTTCCATCTTTTGATGTATAAGAATCATGATTCTCCCTTGTAGATGCCATTATATCAATTACATCAATGGGACTTAAATACCATTACCTTCGTGTGTAATATTTTTGATTAAATAAAAAATCACCTTTTTTGTCTTCATTGTAATTGGTACAGTCTACTCTCTCTATAACGACCACTAAGTAAAATTTCTCTATAACGAACTTCCCTTTTGTCCCCGTTTCAATT